ATACATTAAGACTTTTCTATTTAAATTGTTTGCAATAAGTAATCTAACTCTGTTGTGTCATTATGGGATTTCTTTTCGCAACTGTTTTTATGCATTAGATGCATTGATCTTCCACAAGGTAAATTTTTTTCCATAATGGGTATGAGTGTATAACATTTCACAATTTCATTTTCATTTCTTTCATATTTTTCATTTCTTTACCATTTATTTTTGAAGTGCACCTTGTCCATTTCTTTGAATCAAGTAACAATACATTAGTAGCAGCAATAAAAACATAATTTCAACACCCAGGATCGATAGGAGAGTAAAATAGTGAGCAAAGAAGAGGGAAAAGAAGGATGGGCTGTCATAAACTTCATAAATTATACATGTTGAAGGGGAAGGAAAGTGGTGAAATCAAAGAAGAATAAGAAGGCAAGAGGGAGTGCAAAGAGATATAGGGTGAATGTACAATAATTTTTCTGTTATTATGTTAATCTTAGTTATTAAGATAAACATCATTAACAGAGAACAAAGATCTCTAATTATACGTCCTGCTAAATAGATTTGACACCATTAATACAAGTATAATGAATACGATACCTTACAAACGAGTAACAAAAGTAACATCAAAAGGGGTTGGGTTGCAGCTCCAGTCCCTCCTGGCCATGAAATCAATATATAAAGTCATTTCCTTTAGCTTCCCAGGACCAGGAGCAGCAATAATCCCACCTCTGCCAAGATGGGAGTGGCTTTCAAAGAGAGCAGACTCATTACTTGAACCTATGAGTAAGAGCATTGTTTTGTCTGGGGGTAAGATTAATACTGCTGAAAGTTTGTTCTGGTTTGGTCTTACAACCAGATGCAGTAGTTCATCTGCAAAGGACGAAAAACTATTAAACTGATATTCATCACCACACTTTACCACCCCAGAGAAGCCCAGCTGTGGATGATTGATGATGTCAGGTGCACTCTATGTCACCTGTTGGTTGCCAAGCAAGTTGTAAGTCTGGTTTCCATCAAGCATCAGTTGTTTAAAAGTAGAAATTAATTGTGGTGGTATTCTGTGGTGATGGCAATGACCAATTTGTAGAAATGAATTGTAGTGGTATTCTGTGGTGATAGCAATGACCAATTTGTAGAGGGCAAAAGAAAATTAACAGCACCATAAACAGCAATAATTGTGCAAGCATTGCTGCCCATTTGATTGGGTGTAACTGATGACTGTGAGTCAGAAATGAGCCGCTCAGTTACATCTTGATTTATGTGTCTCCCTAACAACACAAGGTACCTGTGAAAAAGAAGAGAATGCTTTATTAGCTGGGATTGTGGGAGGTTGTCTTGTGCACCAGTGGCATGCACAGGATGTAGAGCGCCCTTCTCTTGTACAGACTTTAGAAGGACGGAGAGGACAAGACTTACCAGATGCTTCCATTAGGACAAGCCTCTTATGCCCTTGGAGAGTGTGACCACAGGTGCTACAATGAGGTGGTTTCCACTGGGAAGATGATTGAGATGGTGGTGGTGGTTGAGAGGTTTGTGTTTGTGTTCTCAATGAGGGCTGTGCTGGTTGAACTGGTGTTGTGAAGTGACAGGTAGAGCTATAACCAGAATCAAAACATGGTTAGGAACTGTGTAGCACTGATAAGTTGATTACAATTAAAATGTCTTGTCCTTAGCGCTAAAATGTTTGAAAATCCAGACGTTTCGGGACTACTGTCCCTTCATCAGTGGAAGATGCCGTTACACTGAACGTGCGTCATTTTATTCATATGTGGCAACATTTGAGGCGCGCGCTGGAAGAGTTCGCTGAAATAACATTGAAGTCAATGTTTATGCCGCGCGGCTGTAGAGTTTTGCATTTAAAAATTAGGCGGCCGTCCGCTCTACGTCTGTCCCTGGTGTTGTGAAGTCCCGCTCGCACAACAGCTACCATCATATCATCTGTTGTGTGACCGGGGGAAGAAAATTGTTTAACAACGGGCAGGTCAGCTTTCTTTGAGACAGATCGGAGGTGTTCACAGAACCTGTCCCCAAGCCTACGTCTAGTTTCGCCAACGTACGCCAGTGCCCGACAAGTTATGATATACACGAGGTTACTTGTCGTGCATGAGAACCTCTGCCGTATGGTCAGAGGTCCACCAGGGGTGTTGATCTGGGAGGCTGGGTTGGTATGGGCACAGATCTTGCATCATGGCCGACGGCAGCGAAAAGTTCCATTTGGTTCATCCTCAGTGTTTGCGCCTGATTGAAGGTTGCTGCTGACCAAGGAATCACGCAGGTTGGTGTCGCGGCGGTACGCGTCGAGTACTCGCGAGTTATCAAACAGTTCCTTAGTTTCAGTGTCAGATTTTAAAAGGTTGAAGTTTCTTGACAGGATGTTCTTTACATGGTGGTTGATGGGATTGTATGTTAAGATTAAGGGGATGACTTCTCTGTTGGATTGTCCGTTGGTAGGTGGTCGTAAGGCTGTATCTCGGGGGATAGTGTCAACGTGTTGAAGGGCTCTATCTACAACCAGTAGGGTTAAGTTCGGGAGAACCTGATCTACATTGCCTCAACTGGAGATGTCAGAACTTCATTATCATCGTCATCATCATCATTATCATTAGCTGTGTTTTCTACTCTGCCACTGCTGTCATCACCATCTACTTCTGCAATCTGCTGCACCTGAACTGACCTATTTGCAGTGGTTGCCAATGATCTTATTGCATCTCCAGCTCCTTGCCTGCAAATAGGACAGACACTGAGAACATTGTTTAGACAACTTAAATGGAAAGAATGCCAACACCCCTCAAAGATTTTCCAGGGCATTTCATTTGACACAGATCAATCCAGTCAATTGGGTTGGGGAGAACGGCGACTAAAATCACCAAACAAGGCTGGTAATTTCCAGAGATCTTTTCTTTGTCCAGGAGCCCTTGGTAGAAGAACTGCTGAATTGGGTGAGTTCGTAATTGAAGTAAGAATGCCCACGATTATTGATGCAACCTTTGAATGTAAAGCTGTCAATTGGCGGCGACTAAAAACATAATTCTTGGAAGGGGTAAAGGCTGCCCTAAAGTTTGCTTGCCTTTCCCCAGAAACAAAAAGAGAAAACATCTTCTGCCGCAGTTGCTCAACATTATCAAATTGGTTGGTAGATCTCCTTGCCATGCTGTGGGCAAACTCAACAAAATATTCATCAATTACACTTACATAGCTACAAAAGAAATTATAGACATCCTTGGAGCCATTAGTCTTCCAATAAAGAATGTTGCTGAGCCAGAACAGAGGGGCTTTGTTTTAGTTTTTCCTGTGGAAGCAAAAAAACATGATCCAAAGCCTGAAAATTGAACTGAAATAATCATCAAAGCGATTCAACTTAAACAAAACACTGTAACTGCAAAGTGCCAGTGGAATGTAATTATCTAACAAATTTAAAAGGACATCATACTGAACATCCTTGACTCTTAAAAAACCGGTCTTCACCACAGTTCTTACCATAGTCCATCCCCCATAGACAACTTCTAAACGAAATTGAATTCTCCAGGCTTTTGGCTTGTTTGCAAGTTTCTTCCCTGGAAAAAGAGACTCGTAAACAAGCCTCATGAAAGGCATGTAACCTGAAACAATATCCTCATCAGCATTAAAGTCTTCATGCAAGGGCCCTAAAGTGGGAATGACAGAGCAAAGAGGATGAGGATAATAGCCCTGAGGTACTGTTTGAAGTTGCTTGTCTGGCTCTCTGGTACACTATTTGCCTTGGAAAAAACTGACCAGGCCAGTCAGCTGGCATAAGTACCACATAGTTTGAGAGATATTCTCTCACTGTTGTCTGTAACACAATATCAAAAGCATCATTATAATCTTTCATACTTTTTAAAGGTAACTTGAGAAAACCAACTAAATAAACATCTTTAAATGAACGCAAAGATTGAACATTTAGAGCTTGATAGTCACTTCCATTTCTGTCATCTCCATAAATGATGCACATATATGGGCCTCGACCTCCCTGGCATGAAATTCACTATATTCATTGTAATGATTCTCGACCTCCTTTGCTGCACTTTTCTTTCCAGTCCTGTTGATGTTGGCTCTGGTAGTGCCAATTTCGGCAGCAGAAGAGTGATTTACAAACATCTTTAATTCTGTCTGTTTTAAGAGCAAAATTGGAAAAAAAGAGAGAGGCATACATATTTGGGGGTGGGGAGGAGTACAGAGAAACTCCTTCTTATCTGTTTTGTTTGAACTATGAGTCTTTCTGGGAATGTCTTGGCTAAAATGCATTGTAATTAACACAGTGAATGGCAATTTACACTGCCTTTGACATAGACAACCAGTTTCATAAATTTAGATTTGCTGCAGACAGTTGCAGACTAACCATGCTATAGTTACCTTGTATATAGTGTATTTAGCATGCCAGTCTGCAAACTCTGTGTCCATGCCTTGAAGCTGCTCATATTCGTTTACGCCATCCCTATATGTGCAGATAACATTCCTGGCCCGTTCTTCAAATAACTGGTCACCATGGAGAGAAACCTGTTCAAGAATGGTCTTGTTGTTCCCATTCGACAAGCAAGGCACATACTTCTCTTGATTGTGCTGTAGGAGTTGGGCCATCTCCCCAGAAACATTGGGATTGAGAAACTGCATACTAAGGAAGGACTAAAAAGTTGAAATGTATACAACCAGTTATAATCCAAAATGATAGCAAATAGAGGTATTCTTTTCTATTGATGAACATTGATGCAGTTTAAAACTTTTCTGTGATTTCGCATGTGTTGGGGATGGAGGGCTACTTAAACTTAAAAAAAGAGTAACATTGCCAACATTTTGAAAATAATAAGATGGACTGGTATATACAGTGGATTATGGAACACCCAACTCTCACACCTCTTCAAAGTAATTTGTAATTTAAAATAACTATTAAGTAATCACAATTCAACATTTAATATAAGTCGTAAATGGCATGAAAGGTGTTGGTTTTATTATTATATATAACATGTAATTCTACCCACAGAGTTGGATTTCTGAGACATCTCCTTGGAGTATTCATGTGGTATGTGTCTCACTACAGCATCTCTAAATGACTGGAGAGGTGGTGAATACTTTGTTATCACTGGACTGACAATGACAGCCCAATTCTTGACAAGGTTTTCCGTGACATCTTTATCAGGCAGGAGTTCTGCAAACTGGATCTCATTGACAGACTTTTGGCTGCAGTGGCTTTCAAGTTGAGGATCTTGAACCCGGTCTAGAACAGCAAACTGGTGTGTCCAGTGGATGGAGCGATTATGGTGCTTTTGGGACTGAACTCTGGCATGGATTTCGTGATCTATGTTGTCCCCCACCAATCTTTTTTATTTGGAGAACAAAGAAAAAACAAGCAGTAGGAATTTCCAAATTCAAAACATTAAAGAAAACTAGTACGATAAAATGAACCGATGAGGACGTATGGCTTAGAGCGGTTTTCACTTGACTGTCGAAAGTAATTGAGGAATTGGTTTGATTTTGGTTTGGGTTCGTCTTCTGATTGGCTCTTTAAAATAGCTGTACCAATCAGCGAGGAGGCATTGTTTTCTCAGCCAATCAAATTCGCAAGTAAACGCAAATCGTGTTTTGGTTTTGGTTTTACTCAAGTTTCACTCACGCAATTTCTTTCGCAGTTGCACTCATGAAAAATTGAAGATAGTTTGCTGTCGTTGTTTGTTTCCCTTTTTCTTTTTTTTGACGAACTCTCGCTGAAACATGGTGTAGTGGAATTTCTGTCGGTTGCTGAACCTTTGAAGGATCTCTGGAAGTTTCTTCGTCTGTTCTCGAGACCGAGGAGCAGTCAACAACACCGGACGAAAATGGTCACCGTGTAGACGACATCTAGAGATTGTGGCGCGCGATGGCTTGGAGAATTAACAAACAAGGTGGAATATTCAAGAAAGGAGCAGCCTTCCCTTTGCAGAAGCGATACCAAATTGCCGTCTCCTACCTTCGTACTGGTAGTTTTGCGGATCACTCACCGTTTCTGGGAACGGAGTCATCTTTCTACCGACGCTAAATAAATACACGCGAAGGCTCCTCAAGACTCGAAGAGAACGTCTCGATATCACTTTATGACCTTACGAGGATTGCTCTATAACACAGGATGACTCACCGAGGATGACTCGATGAGGCACCATTACTTGGCGAGAATTACTCCATGAGACACGTTGACTCGACGAGGACGACTCAACGAGGGTGACTCGACGAGGGTGACTCGACGAGGGGACGACTCGAAGAGGACGACTAGGCGAGGATCACACGACGAGGCAAGATGATTCGACGAGACTACTCTGAGTCATAAGGGAGGGACATCTGTTTTGCGAATTGTTTTGACGAGTTTATTTATTTATTTTTTTCAATCATTTGAAATGTTCAGTCTATTATTAATTACATTTATGGCCAATCCATTGTTCTTCTTATTATAGACACATTTCATTTCATTTCATTTCATTTCATTTAGTATAATTATATTATCAGCCTTCTTGCCTGCCAATTTTGTAACCTGAATGATAATGGTGTTGATGGTTTTCTCCATTTTATTTCAAGATCACGAGTTCAATGCAACTAACTGCAGGCATAAACATTCATGCGCTTTCTCTCCTTGCCTTCAAATTTATTTTTCCACCTTCTAATGTTAACAAAAGACTATTCATAAAGAGAGAGTACTAACCGTTATGGGAGTCCCGAAAATCTTGAGAATGAGTCAGAGTCGCTATTTAAAAGAGCTGTGTCGCCAAATTTACCCCCAAATTGAGTGAAACATAAAAAATTAACTGCTCAAAACATGAAAAAGCGGGTATAAATAACAAAGCAATAACATGTGGAGTAGAGGAACGGATGGAGAAAGTTGAAAAACATTTAGACAGAAATCAGGAAGGTTTTTTTCTATTGCTTATGTACCAGAGAATATTTGTGAGATAAGTGTCTGACATTGTCCGCGGATTAGGATCTCCCTTTTTTTTCTATAACAATACACTTTATACAGGTGTTTATAAGAATATCGAGCTGAAGAATATGTTAAGACTAAACCCCCGGCTGAGACTTTGAGAAAGATAAAATTTTGTGGTTTAAAACCTGTAAATACAATACAATTATATATCTTCAACTTACTCCATTCTCCAAACGGTGAAACTTGCAACAAAATGAAACTGAAAAATTACCCTTACTATAATATATAAAACCCCAATCTATTCAGTTTCTACTATCAGGTCATGGGCTTTCCTCGTCGCATTTGTGAATTAAACTCAGGATAGACGCATAGACGGTATAATTTGTTTTTCCTTTATTTAGCACTAAGCTTGCCTTAAATTAAAAAAAATGTAACCCTACTTTTTAAGTAAGTTCATCGGCAAGTTAAAATTAGCCAAGAACCTAATGGGGAAAGCTCTTTCGCCATGATACTGATAATGTATTTAAATTAATACATTTTCTATTTTATTTGACGATGATCATACAGATGGCATTAGTTGTGCATGCGAAAACTATGATGTAAACTTTGCAAAATTTCCACTTCAAATCAGAAACGCATTATACTGTTGTAATCATGAAAGGCAGCAGGCAAAATTTCAAATTTGAACTCTTAGGGCCTTTTTTCATGAAGGTGGGGGACCCCAGGAAGGTGAGGTAACCCGCCTGTCCATATAATCTGTCATTTTAATTTGATTAACAATAAAAAGCAACAGGACTAAAAGTTGCAGCAAGAGCAGCAAGTGAGAGCAGAAAAGCCAAAACACGTGGTTTGCCAACATTTTTCTTGTTCACGTGTTAAACGGGTAGTACGATTGCATGTAGAGGCGGGTTCTTTTCTAACCCCACCTAAGCGGTTTACCCCACCTACCTCGGGTCCCCCACCTCCTTGTACTGTCAAACTCAGAAAAAGGTGAACGCCTGGAAAGTTTCGCGCGCGCCCGGTACTTTGAGGGAAAAAGAAAACAAGCTTAGCAACTCGACAAATAGTGTATAACACAATCTAGGAATCAGTCGTCATCCAAACGAGAAACAACGACGGTTAAAGTTGTTGGCTCGTTGTCAAAGTGGAAAAATAGAACTGTATCTTTGCGTAAACTAATTAGTTTATTTAAGCGCACATTTTGTTCATTTGTGTATTCGATATTTTTAAAGTTATCATAACTATAGCAAAATTCTCAAATCTGATTGGCAATCAACTGCCATGCTTTCAGCACTAACAGGACAGTACGCGCGCACTTAAATGGCCTTTTTTTCACTGCTTCGAATTTCGTGTGTTTTGATTTAAAAATGGAGCCTTATATTATCACAAATTTTGTTTAAGTTAAGATTGACGGGTAGGAGAACTTCATGTAGTCTAATTCGGTCTGTAATCATACTAAAAAATTTTGGATGAGGTTTTTGTGATAATCAAGGTCGAGGTAAAAATCATACACCGCGGTCATACATGACATGATTACCCGTGACGTCGAGTTTAGATGACGTCCCAAGCGCTGCTTTCGAAATCTCACTGCACGCTTTCGGCCAATCACAAATGAGATAGTGAGTTAAATGTACAATAACAGACCAAATTGGACTCCACTCGGTCCTCTTCCTATTACAAATTAAACACTTAAGAAATCGGAAATTAAAAACTGCATCATTCTTGGCCATCATTGCCCACTTCATTCTTTGACTTCTTCCTCCTTTTACGCTTCTTTATTTTTTCGTTGTTTTCCCCTATGAAAAATAAAAAAATTTAATCTTACATCGCACGGGTTGTTTCCAAACCAGCTTTCTGGTTTGGGAAATTCAAGCGGAGTGCTTAACGGCTCTTTTGCGTGTTCTTGCCTTATTCTCAAGTCATTTGCGCTTGTACGTTTGATAAATATAATGATGACTGTCCTATGAAAGGGGTTATAGGTCACTACCGCTAAAAAAATTGCTGTAATTTAATAATCTAAAGTACCAGTAAATATTGATTTTCGAGACTGCGTGTGGTAGGTGTGCATCACATTGGAATACTTAAGAGTGAAAGAAGGAAACCCTAGGCACGAAGTACAGAAACTGATTTCTTTTTTTTTTTTTTTTTTTTGATAAATCGCTCATTTCATGTCCTAAGCATTTATACTGTGATCATCAACAACCGGCTACAACGTAAACAAAAACAATATTCTAACGAATGTGCTATTTTTTTGCACGGAAGAGAAAGAAAAAAATTCTAGCAACAAATTCCCAGTAACATTTACAGTACCTTTTTCTGTGACACCAGCTTCCCCTTTTCGCCTCTTTGCCTCAGGTGGACCTTAGTGTTTAATACCAAAAAAACTACATATTCAGTTTCTTTTCCAGGTAACGTTGGCATTTTTAAAGAACGTTGTTATGGTGAGAGTCAGTTAAATAGTCAATATAAGAAAAAGTTCAAAGAAAATCAAGTAACCTGAATTTTTTATATACACGTAACATAATGATAAAGAAATTTAATGTGCATGAGTAGACTGTTCAAATTCAGCTCCAAACGAACTATCAAACGAAAATTAAATCGCTCGTTGACTTTTATGAATCTTCATCTTTTGACAACCTGTTTATTATTATTGATCTAGGATTGCTTTAAACTAATGAGAGATGATTTTTTTTTTTCTGAGCTGGATCACTAAGAACTTTGTAACTTTGTAATATATCACGGAGTCTGTTCGAGTCATTTTATGCATGGGACTTGAAGAATTCATTAATTTCCACGTCACCACTTCATATCACGTATACAAACGTTATCTTTGGAAGTCTTACCGGGTAAGGTTGAGGACAAATCCTCAGTGCCCTTTGGCAATGATCCTCTCAAGGAAACCTGTGCAAAACAAGGACGCAACATCAGCCCACTGTACACACTGCGTAATTCCTATGGGATGTTTCTTAATCTAAACATAAATTGGACTAATACTATAAGGCTTTCTAATATATCATGATACTGTTGTAATCATGAAAAGCAAGGTGCTAAATTTCAAATTTGCTATTACTATTACATTACTATAACTATTATTATTATTAATTTAAATATTAC